CCTCCGTTGCTCAGGACTGCAGGGAGGCTGTTAGGAAGGCCAAGGCACAGAAGGAGCTAGGGCTAGCAACCAGAATTAAAGATAATAAAAAGTCCTTCTTCAAATACATAGGAAATAAGAAGAAGGCACAAGATAACATGGGGCCTCTACAGGATAGGCTTGGCAATCTGGTGATAGCGGCAAACGCAACAGCTGACCTCTTTAACAAATTCTTTGCCTCCATATTCCTGAAGAGGAACAGGGATATCTCCCCCACTAGAATTGCAGATGGACCCAGGGGAGGCACCACCATGCCTAGGGTCAGGGAAAACCTGGTTTGGGAACTTTTGGAGGGGCTGGACATTTAAATCAGTAGGTCCAGATGCTCTTCACCCAAAGGTGCTGAGGGAACTGGCAGGGGTTATATCAGGGCCCCGTGCATGGCTCTGTAAGTGCTCGTGGGGCACTGGCCAGGTACCAGAGGATTTGAAAATGGTCAATGTGGTCAGCATTTACAAGAAGGGGAGAAAGGAGGACCCTGGCAATTATACTCCAGCCAGTGTTACCTCAGTCCTTGGGAAGACCTTTGAGACAATTAACAAAGAGCACATCTGCAAGGGCCCAGTAGGGGAGGTAATGCTCAGGGGGAACCAACATGGGTTCATTGAGGGCAGGGCCTGCCTGACTAACCTGGTTTCTTTTTATGATCAGGTCACAAAGTCCCTGGACGAAGGCGTCAGGATGGATGTCATCTTCCTGGACTTTAAGAAGGCCTTTGACACTGTCTCCCATCACATTCTTTTAAAAAACCTAGGTGACTGTGGCATTGATGCCTAGTCAGATGGGTGGCAAATTGGTTAGATGGTCGCACCGTGAGAGTGGTGGTGGATGGGTCATTTTCGACCTAGAGGGATGTGGGCAGTGGAGTCCCCCAGGGCTCGGTCCTGGGGCCTGTACTGTTCAACATCTTTATCAGCTATCTGGATGTGGGTGTGGAATGCTCTCTGTCCAAATTCACTGATGACACCAAGTTGTGGGGTGAGGTGGGCACGATGAAGGGGAGGGACAGAATCCAGCTAGATCTAGACAGGTTACAGGGGTGGGTGGATGAGAATAGAATGGAATTCACCGCAGACAAGTGCAAGGTACTGTATGTAGGGAGAAGGAACCAGCAACACACCTATAGGCTGGTGAGCACCCTTCTTGTCAACACGGTGGCAGAAAGGGATCTTGGAGTCATTGTTGACTCCAGGATGAACATGAGCTGCCAATGCGAGGAAGCAGTCAATAAGGCGTCCCTTCTATGTGACACTGGTCAGGCCACAGTTGGAGTACTGCGTCCAGTTCTGGGCACCACACTTCAAGGGTGATGTGGCTAGTATTGAGAGGGTCCAGAGAAGGGCCACTCACATGGTCAAGGGACAGCAGGGCAGGCCCTATGAAGAGAGACTAAAGGGCCTGAATCTATTCAGCCTCCACAAGAGAAGGCTGAGAGGGGATCTGGTAGCTGTTTACTAACTCACCAGGGGGACCAGAGGGCACTGGGGGAGGCTCTGTTCCCCTGGGTACCACCCAGGGTTACTAGGAATAACGGCCACAAATTGTTAGAGAGAAGGTTCAGGCTGGACATCAGGAGACATTACTTTATGGTTAGGGCTGCCAGGCTCTGCAATGGGCTCCCAAGTGAGGTGGTACTGTCTCCTATTTTAGGGTCTTCAAGAGGAGGCTGGACAGATATTTGGCTGGGATGATATGACCCCGGCACCTGTTCTTGCCTGGGGCAGGGGGTCGGACCTGATGATCTGCTTAGGTCCCTTCCGACCCTAAGCACTATGATACAACGAAACAGATTGCTTTTGTATAGTGCTAAGGGAAACTATAAATTGGTCATTGTCAAATGATACTTTCCACATTTAAAAAATAATAATTCCTAAAGATCTGCATGGCACAGTATCTTTGATGATACCAGTTGAATGGCTGAAACTCAAAAAAAATTTTAGGGCTCCATTATATAATTTACCCACACTTTTAATATAGCCTCGAAGTAAAGATTTTAAGCAACAGAAAGTCAGTGAACCCTCTGAAAAGACTCAAACACTAACTTTAATTTTCTCCTTCTCCTTCAGTAAAATATTACAGTATTTTTCAGTAACATCTACAGACTGCATTTCATTAGCATTAGATGGAAGGGTGTGGACCATTTTTGTAGGCACTGATGTTGCTGACGTGGGGAGGAGGCTGATATATAAATGGGAAGAAACTTTGAAGATAATAGGATCTTGCTGTCTGTCAGGAAGAAATAGGAGCTTAACAGCAGGGACAGTGTCTGTTTTTCATTGTAGTAGAGGAATGTTCAGCACATGAGTGTTGAGCTGGACACTGAATGCTGCATCTTCCTTTGGAGCCAATTTGTGTTCAGTTAGGAGGTACTATGAAGAGCCACTCCTTCAGCACTGAATAACTGATAAGATTATTACTTCACCCAAAATGACTGGGGAGCTGAGGAGACTAGCTGCTTTTCTTTGCTGCTATAGACTTTGTGGTCATTTCTCAGGGCTGACCCCTTATTGCCACCATTTTAAAGATTGGAGCTCACAGTAACAGCTCATATTATATTGCTGGCTGTTTTTCTACAGCATTTCAGAAATTTGGTCTCAGTGTTATTTCTCTCCTGTATTTTTGAGCTCTCTAGAAAGCTTGTTATTGAAAAAGAAAAGTTTTAGGAAGTTGATGTATCAAACAACTCTTTTCATTTTTAGTGGTATACAATTTCTTTTGTTCTAATTCGATTTTTGACATAAATCTATCATCATGAGAAGCAGCTAACATTAAGTTGGATCATTAAATGAAGACATTCAGATGAGCTCCTAAATATATGTTCTGGGGCTCAACTGTGTAAACATACTCATGCAAAATCCCACTGAAATAAATGGAGCCATTTGAGTAACTGCTCACCTATCTGAGTAAAGATTTCACTAGTTGATCCTGTCTATTTTCCTACTATGAAATTAAGGTAAATTATTTAATTTGTGGGATTCCCTCTAAATTGTTGGAATTCTGTGTTGTTGGGATGTTGAATATGTAGGGAAGTCAAGAATGATTTGTACTGGTAGTGATTTAAGCCCAAGGTGTTCTGCAAAGGTAAATCAAAGTAGGGTCAGAAGATGGGTAAAGTCATAATGCAGAGAGTGTATTTTAAATTACACCGCTTGTGCATACATCGTACTGTTTATTTGTTTCTGGGTACAGCAGGTTCATTTGAGGCCAGATGGAAATCTACTTGTTTTGTGATACATAAATTCAGGTACTTCTGGAAGCGCAGCTGCTTTGATTGTTACAAGGAGAAACATACCACAGAATAAAAAGTAAACACTGTTCAGATGATCTCTTTTTTGTTAAGTAATGGGTACAAATTCAAAGCTGTTGACAATCTCTACATAACTCTCTTTGTAAACACCATAATTTGTTTTTGCAAGTTTTGAAGTGCTAAAAATAAAGCAACCACTCTACTATTCAATTTCTTACAAAAATTAAAAAGTCAAGTCGCTGTAATGCACTAAGGCTGGTGTTCATGTTATAGCAAGGCTGCCAAATTAACATAATCATCAGTGTTATAAAGAATACAATTTATCTCAAACTTCTTTCTTTTCTTTTCACATTTTTTTCACAACTGAAACAATTGAGACCACAGAAAAAGTGTATAGAAATAACTCCTTACCAAAAACACACGAGCAAGCAAAAAGCCAAACATATCGTATTTATATCCTAATTGTCCAACGGAAAATATCTATGCTGGAAAATAAATGACCAGATCTTCAGGAGTTTTAAGGTAAGAGTATTGCTCTATGAACTTCAGAGGTGGAGCTATGCTGATAAACACAAACTAAAAAAACTAGTCTCTAACATTCTGAGATCTACTAGCTTGGTGTATAATCACTGCTCTATAGGGGTCCCGCCACTGAAAGAAAGAAAGAAAAAAAGAATACCACATAGATATCCAATTATTTAACAGAAATAGTTCAGTCCTTGAACCCTGTGTGCTCTACAAAACTGAACACAAATGTCAAACTCTGCCAATGTAAAACTATACAATCTTATTTTCATATTTCCATAAAATCAAATAAATGCAGAACATTTAATATTCCATCTAAATTAACACCTCAGAATTTATCCGACTCTGCCGCACAGTTTGTGACTTTAATCTAACGTCCTTGAGCCAGATCCCACTCTGCATTTGTGCAACCCATTTTCTTAAGCATACTACAGAAGCCAGAATTTGGCACATTTTATCTCCAAACCTGGTTTGAAATTTTTAGAAAATAGGCTTTGCTGCAGTTTTTCAGCAATACTCTTTCTGATCCTGGCTTTTGGAATTACAGACCTGACTCTTCCCTATTCAGACAGCTGTAAAACACAAGTAACAATGTAAAATCAATATACTCAAGAAAACAAGACCCCAATGTTTTAAAAAGAAGTTAGTCACATTTTCCCAAACTTTAGTAAGTGCTCCGTCTTAGTTCAAGGAGGATTCTTATGTTGGAAGAAGTTATTTCCTTCACTTCCACATTGTCTCAACGTCATTGTAACAATCATAGGGATTATGTAATTACCTTGGACTTGCTACCTATGCAAAGTACTTATCACACATTAAAAACTCCAACTAGCTATAAAGTCAGACTTGGAAAATGCATACTAACTTTATAGTTGGTTGCAATCAAGCTTTAATTTGCATGTGTAGCAGGGTCTCCTGCTCTCCAAGGCTGGGGCCCTCAATTGATGGGGCTCCTTGTCGTGGGAGCTTGCTTCTTGCCAGTGCAGCGGGAATCCAGGACAGGGTTCCCCTTTCCCTAGTAATATGGCACGATGGGATCTAATGCACATATGGAATTGCAGGAGTTGGAACTTTGTGGATCGCACCTTAGATCCCATTGCACCTTCACCTGCACATGCAGACGGGGCCTAAGTGAATAAAAAGACAGAATACAAAAAGTACTAACTGTGACACAACAGCTTGTACTTACCAGCCTGACCAAGTGTATACTCCTGATACCTTGTTCCTATTCTGTTTGTAGCTGTACAGTTATATCGTCCAAAATCATTGTCAGACGTTGGAGCAATCTTTAAAATAAACAAAGACAATTTACCGTCTATTTTCCAGTTATTAATGACAATATCTCAAAGCTTCTAAACATTTTTCATTTAAATACTCCTTGGCTAAACAGTATGAAGATCTCTTATTTCACTATTTCACATTATTCTTACAGAATAGTCAGGTAAAACATACATTACGACAAGTTCTAGTCATTCACAACTTGCATGGGAAAGAAGTTATTGATTAGCACATGGTGAATTGTTCAGAGCCACAATTTCACTTCAGGGTGCTTTAGTACACCAGGACAATCCTTAATACTTGGGTGTATTGGTTTACATCACAATTCCTGGTACTGCAAATTGTTGTTTGGATAAATAATATGAGGTGAATATTCTGTTCGTCTTTCAGAGCTTACTCTTGTCCAAGAGATTAAGCGAGACTGTTATTCAAGGTTCCAGTTGTACTGGCTGAAAAGCAGTTTACACAGCTTCTGCATATATCTATAGGACCCAATGACTTATCTGAGTTCCTTGAGCCTATTCTCTTACTTAGGTAATGACTTCTACTTCCCTCTTAACCAATTCATAACAGAGATCCTTAAAATAAAGAGCTACAACCTCCTCCCTTGATGTTGTGGTGGTTGTATTTTATGGGCCTCTGAATTAAACCATGTGAAAGATTTGCAAAGACTAAATACTAGGGGTGCACTGATAGAGATTTTTTGAGCCGATACAGATTGACAATTTTTAACAAGCCCTATTGGCCAATACTGATCTGATTGCCAATATGTAGCCGGGCAGCTTGGAGAGCAACGTTCGGCTAGTAAGTCCGTTGTGGGGGGAAGGGGCAAGGAGGGAAGGAAGGGGCATGGGCAGGGCAGAACAAGGTCCCTGCAGTGAGGGAGAGAGTGGGGCTGGGGCAGGTGCTGCACAGCTGGGGTGGAGCATAGCACAGAGCCATAAGCATCTCATCTGGGGGGCGTGGGGGGGGGCCCTGCCACTATGCACAACCTAGGAGGGCATGGGGGGGGGTGTGCCTCCAGATCTGTGCATGGGGTGAAGGTGGTCTGCCATTGTGGGCTGGGGCAGGGGAGGTGCTGAGGTCTTCCTGGAGGGTGGCTGGGCCAGGTGATGGCAGCACTGGGAGGGGGGCCCACAGCCACCCCAAAATTTGCTATAGCCCCCCTGTGCCACTGCCCACCTGAAGAGCAGCACATCCCAGCCCCCCACCAGGAAGAGCTTAGCTCAGGCCTGCAGTGGCAGCCCATCCTCACCAAGCTCTGAGGTGCCCTTCTGGGGTGTGTGTAACAGTGGGAGTTGCCCTCCCTCCCTGCATGACCTAGATGACATCTCTAAGAGTACATACAGTTGCTTGAGGAGGTTAAAGAGAGGTTACATTGCATTAAAAATAGCCACCTGATCTAACTTAGTACACTCTGGTGCAGACCTTACACTTCGATCCCTAGTTAGGTGGATCCAAACATGAACTGTATAGATGTTAAGGTTGGTCTAAGAATGGCTAACCCAACCCAAATTAGCTGCATATCTGAGGTAGTTTAACTTACATTGGATCAGATGAGCCTAATCTAACTGAACTTGTGTATAGATCCCAAGGGAGTCTTGGAGCTGGGAAAGCCCAGGCACTGGCCCCAGGTCCAGGGCTGCACTTTTCCTCTCTCTCTCTCTGGCACTGGGCTATTTAAACCTCCTGGTACCTTGCCCCTTCCCCTGACAGACAACTCTCAACCCCCCACAGACCAGCCAGGCCACCTGAATCCAGAACCTCCCCCCAACATCTGACAAGCTACCCTTGGTGCTGGGAACCAAAGAAGTAAGTCAGGGTGCAGGGAGGGTTGGGATGGAGTGGGGGTTGGTTCACTGGGGGTGGTTTGTTTGTCTGGGGGTGGGAGGGGTCAGGAAGCTAAAAATGGCCCCTAGTCTTGGCGGGGGGAAAACAGCCCCCTGCCACCCCCCAAAACCTTGTGACGGCCCCTACTAGTTCCTCTGATACTTCCAAGCCATTCTGGACCCCACCAACACCCTGCAGACCCTGCTGCCAATCCCCTCCAGCAAACAGTGCTAGCTGCCACTAATCAGTGGTGTCCTTATGAGCCAACAGTATGGCTCTTCCCTGGCTGCACAGAAGGGTAACAGCATACTGGGCTACATTAGTAGAAACAGCACCAGCTGTTGAAGGAAAGTGATTCTTCCCTTCTTTTCAGCACTGGTGAGGCTACATCTGTCCAGTTTAGGGGTCCCACTACAGAAATAATGTGGGCAAACTGGAAGAAATCTAGTGGAGGAAAGCAAAAATGGTTAACGGGCTGGGGCACAAGACTTCTGAGGAGAGGCAGAGAACGAGGCTTCTTTAGTCTGTAGAAGAAAAG